GTTTGAGTTTACCAAAGAGACGCTGATTCAGCTGCTAAATGTAATCTTGGAACAGGGATATTCATAAAAAATATAAACAACCTGCTGTTGTGTCCAGGACAGTCAGGAATTATGAGGTTCTTGGATGTTGTGAATGTTTTTGTAAACTCTCAGACTCTGAATTCCCATTTTAGAAACTGACCAGAGATTTTTTGACACATTTACTGTCAACATAGTAAATCACTATGAGTTTAACTGATTTTTATATTCTGTTGGTGGCTAATCAACAATTCTGTGACCAGTGCTGTTGTCGGGGGAATGACCTGTTTTGAATGACAATAAGAACATTTGCAAACTCAGGCCTGCGGGCCACTTGTGGTCCTCTGTGATTTTTTTATGTGGCCCTCTGCTACTAACACAAAGTCGGCATTGAGGCACTCTGATAGTGTCATTCAACCAACTTCAGCTCCATCAATACAGTCATGCTATACCTTGCTGTTTATCTCAGAGCCTCAATAAGGATGTATCATAACTCATTTTAAATTCCAGAATCCAGTCAATCCAGGTCGTCTGATGAACCACAGTGGCCCTCTCACTAAAAAGTTTGGACACCTCTGGGTTCAAGGCATACATATGGGAGGATTGTCTATTTCCGGGTGGATCATCAAGACTATAGGTTCTCCTAATTGTCAATCATTCTGGTGATACATGCTCGTCCAATAAGACCAGAGAGTTGTGTTCAAAAAGTGGAGACAGTGGTTCTTTCCTAAAATTAGGGTAAATCCTCCCATGTACTTTTAACATCATTTTTCGTTTCCTTTTTCGTTTCATTGGAATTTTTCGTTGCTTCTGTGTTCTGTTACCATCCCGCCTCTTGAGCTGACAGCGCACTCAGCTTTTGAGGATTTGAAAGGTTCCCAGACAGATTTGTGAGATCTCGATGACATTCAGCATGGCAGCCGCGAATTAAAGCACTACCATTTAAATGTGACGTCTCCTAAGATTTCAAAAGTGGATGAAAATGTACAGATTATTTTTGCCGTGAAAAGGCTTGCCATGACACTTTCACAAAAGCATCTCCCGGTTGGCGAGGATCCAATAAATGTGAAGAAGGTAAAGTTCAACTCCTGCAGGTGGCTCTCCTCCATGCGATTATCACCCCCCCACACGCTGCGATGGCACAGATAGACCGCCCACGCCTCACTGTTTACTGCCAATATTGCTTTTAAAAAGACGGCGTTCTTCAAGGCCCCTGAGAATGGCCCTGACATTTCCTGGGAACACTCTCTGAAAGGCAGCCTCTTTATTGTGATGTCTATTGAAAGTGACAACAACAGTGCGTTCTCCCTGGCCCAGGCTTATACAGAGCGGCGAACAACCTAATGTCCTTGACCCCAAAGCAAGTGAAAGTGTAAGACGGTTATGACATGTCGTCTGCTTGGAAAGATGTCCGTCAGTCGTTGCATTGTTCTGACTTTGTAATGACAATGAAGTTGAATTTAATCTTATCTAATAAATGCATGTATTTTTCACTCACAGTCACAGCTGCCCTGGTGTAGTGTAAGAAAAAAAAAGAAATTCAGTAAGTAAGTAATCTTTATCTATAATCTAAGATTTCTGAACATTGTAAAGCGCTTTGGGTGGCCTTGGGCAGCACGGTGGCTGAGTGGATAGCCCTCTTGCCTCTCAGTTAGAAGGTCCTGGGTTTGAATCCCGGTCGGAACAGGGTCTTTCTGAGTGGAGTTTGCATCTTCTCCCTGTGCCTGCGTAGGTTTCCTCTGGGTACTCCGGTTTCCCCTACCACTAAAAACATGCTCACTAGGTTAAATCCTCCAGCTCTGGTAGTCCTGACCAAGCCGAGCATCAACATCTGGAGATGGGTTCCTGGGCACTGTTACTACGGAGACCACTGCTCCTGACGTAAGCCTTCATGGCATCAGGATGGGTCAAATGCAGAGGATTGATTTGCCCTACGGGGATTAATAAAGTGCACCTTTACCTCTTTAAAATGTGTTGTGTAAATAAACATGACTTAGTATAGCGCCTTTCACAGACCAGAGTAACAAAGCGCTTTACAACTGTCTCCACACAGAGATGGGAGGTCGTCAGTACAGGAGGTCCATGTCAGACCTATTACATATGTTTTTAGTAGTAGGGGAAACATACGCAGACACGGGGAGAACATGCAAACTCTACTCAGAAATTTGAACCCAGAACCTTCTTGCTGATAAGCGAGAGTGCTAACCACTCAGCCACTGTGCCGTCCAAAACAAACAACACCAAATGAGGGGTTCCGTCTTCTCGGCTGTCTTTAAAACCACATTATGACAAAAAACGGAGGGAATCAATATCATAAAACGGCAAAAATCAAAGTTATAAAACAAAACAGACACTTTTGAAGACAAAAAACAGAACTGGATTTAAACAGTATAATCAGTATCAGTGTGTGTAGATGTGTGTGTGAATGTGTTTCCATTTTGTGTCCTTAATTATGTCCGTTTTGTTTAATGCCTTTTTATTTTGTCCATTCGGTTTTGTTTTGTCTTTAAAGTGGTTCTCACCCCCGCTCCTCGGAGCTTACGTTACTCACATTTCCTGTTCAAATCTTCCTCTAAATGGGCGTAGCCTGGAGGACTAAAGGGGGCGTGAACGAGACTGGGCCGTTTACATAGCTCTGGGCGGGGGGCTGCTGACGTCAGGTCCAACTTGCAGAGGTCAGGTCCAACTTCTGTGCCAGTGTTGGCGCCAGATTCAAAATTCAAATGTAGTAATACAGGTCGCCAGCAGATGGCGTCTCACAGACGGTTTTAGGCAGAAAGTCTAACTTTCAACTAATTTGCACCAAAGTGACAAGATTATGACCAGGATATGTAGACAACACTATTGGACACTCATTTATACCGTTTATCAGCAAAAAAAAGTGGATTTGAGGGTGAGTTGTCCTTTAATCGTATCCGTTTTTTGTGTTGTTTTTTATTTCTCATTTTAATTCATGTCTTCTTAATTAAAAATTAAAAAATAAATAGATAAATGTGAACCACAACCGTTTTTATAATTTGTAATTGTATGTAACTGTGTAACTTTAGTCCAGGAATCTTTTGAACACAAGGTTCTCAATCTCAATGGGACTTTACTGGTTAAAGAAAGGTAAAAAAATATATATATAGACTTTTTCTCTGAGATGTCAGTCTGGGCTGCTTCCTGCACTTGAGGTGAATCACTCTCAACATCTTTTATGTCCTATTAATCGGCGGTCAGGCTAATTGTACGGTTAACTGTGAGGACCTGAACTCTGAGTACCTTTCAATGTCCAGGTGCATTTTGAGGCCAAACAAAACCTCACCGTTAAAGCTGCACTAACTGACTTTGGGATTTTGAAGCCGCGGACTCGCTGGCCTCTCTCTTTCTGCTCCCCTCCCCGCACCCACGAAGCTATCGCCCCCACACACACCCACTGTTGTTGACGGAGCTGCGTCTCCCAATATGGAGAATACATGGATATGGATTTGCACGTGGATGGCGTGACCATAGAACGATAGAACCGGGAAGCGCGGAGGAACGGGACTTTCTTTTGGATGGCTGTTTCGCTGTGTAAGCAGTAACCAGTGACAAGGAAGCTTCAGGTTAGCTCCGCCGCTTGTTGTGCTAACTCAGCCGTCTATGCTAACGGACCTGTAGATTTCTCACGAAAGTGGGGGCTAGTGGTCCGCTGTGATTGGTCACAATCTGCGACCCGAAACACATCTCTTCCTTATTTCATCCAAACTCGATCTAAAATATAATGTCACGCCAGCACAACCCCGCGCTACTTTTTCTTCAAGAGGACGTATATTCCAATGCACTACATGGACATGGATAGCATTTTCGTAATTATTTTTGAGGCATTTTGAGGCCAAACAAAACATAACGGTGCACAGGACACAAGGCTTGCATCGTGACGCATCATATGTGGTATAATTCTACAGACTATGGCAGAATTATATTACCCTTAAAAGTTGGAAGGGGTTAACTTTATGGATTAAAGGAGCAGTATGTAAAAATCTGGCCAAAAGTGGTACTGCAGCCTCTCTCACTCTCAGGTTGCCAGATATGCAGACAAATCCAGCTGGGACCATAATATCTGAAAAAAAGAGTTTTGTCAACAACAAATCTATAACCAACACCTTTTTCACAAAGATATACATATTTTTCCTTGTTTTGTTTTGTTTTGGCAACACGGATCATGGACTTTCTGATTGGTAAAATGATGGAGGGCGGGACATTACAAGGAAACCCATAACAAGATTTAAGGGCTGTGTAAAACTAAATTTGAATATCTCGGCTGAACTACTCTTTTCATTTAAAGAATTATTGTAAAAGAGCATGGTTAATTAATGTATTTTGACGGATTAGGGCCATTTATTGATGAAAATCTCACATATTTCTACTTTAATAAAGGGGTAGAAGATGACATGACTATGGCAGGGGTCATCAACTATATTTGTCAGATGGCCAGAGTTTTAACAGAAAGTCTCCTTAAGGGTCGGTCCCCCAAAGAGAATATTAAATCAGATTGATTTATTTGCCATTTTCAGTAAAACCACATTAGAATACATCCGCAAAAGACAAGCACATAAATAAAAGAGAAATAAATAATAATACATTTTATATAGGACTTTTTTGGACAGTCAAAGACACCTCACATGTCATTACTCCTTCACTCCATACACGGTGGTGATAAACTACTGAAGCCACAGCTGCCCCTAAGTTATTTTAATGATAGGCCTTTACCAAAAGGTTGAGATGCAGTTTGAGGGTAAAAGTGCAGTGAACCAAGAATTCAGTTCCAAACTTTAAGTAGATACTATAGTAGATAGAATAGTGACTAGAAAAGTGATGCACCAAATAGTTGTGGAAAACATGAAAGGGTTAAAAGAAGCGAGGGAAAGTCAGCCTAGGGGGGGGGGGTTGATGTGGGAGAAGCTCTGGTCATGGTATGGGTGTAATGGCCAGACACTTCTGGCCTGGATGGTGGGCTCATTTCATCCTCTGGTGCACAGGGAAGCAGGCTGTCCTTCCAGGCCCATGTCAAGCCTGCGCTTATAAGCTGGGGAATGACACGGACCCCCGGTGGGACAGAAGGCGATGTGGAGATGAGGCTGTGTGGCAGGTTGGGAGTGAAAAGGGAGGTTGAGGCTGGAGAGCAGGTGTGCACTGAGGCCTGATGAGACGGTGCAGCGAGACGAGAGCATGGTCTGTGAGAGGATGTCTGCAGACCTGGGAAGACTGGGGAATTCACGTCTGTGTCAAGGGAGAGGATTTTGGAATGACGTGTACTGCCGCGGTAGCTTGGCCTTAGCCGTCCGTAAACTCTTTGTCAATAATCAATTCTTTACGTGTACGTCTGGGTCTGATCCTAGTAGCGAGCGAGGCGGGTGTTGTAGGGAGGTGTTGGTGACGTTAAGAGTTTGCACCAAATTTGCTGGTTGTAGTTTTTCAATGCAATAGTAAAGTAATCCGTTCTGGTTTGCCTCCAAATATCAAGAAATCGAAGCTGAAGCAAGAGGAATGTTTAGAAAATATCATTGCTGCAAAGATGTTGTGGCTCTACTCCCCACGGGCTCCAAAGTAGATGGCTAAAGCTAGGCTAAATGCTAAAGCTAGGCTAAATGTTAAATGCTCCAATCGTTTCAATCTGCAAAAAGAGATAACCCCTCCCACCTGTTCACGGAGCTCAATGGAGAAAATCCAGACCTTAGTACGGACTAAAATGAGTACGATGGTATGGTAAGACAAGGCTATCATATCCTCACAGCGTGACAAATAAAATATGTCATTATACTTATCATACAAATTACCTAATGACAGGATTTCTAATAGGCAAGTTGATTTGTATAGCACAATTAAAACTCAAGGTAACTCAAAGTGCTGAACAAAACGTCACACAAGGCATTCCAATCATAAACAATCACTGTACATTAAAATCAGAAAGGATAAAACTTCTATTATGACTACATTTTTTTTCCCCAATTAGAAAAATATCTTTCATACCAACTTGACCTCTGTTCATGTTATTCCAATATCATACATGCATGAGTAATTGCATTTCCAGAGGTTAGTCAAACTACTTCATCCCAAGGGTTAGCCCACTCCATATATATTTGACTTTTGTTCTAATCGTGCATGGGAGCTCAGGCAATCTCGGTGAAAGTAGTGTTTGCATTTGACACGGCCCATTGTTAGGACTTTGAACAGAATCCTTAAATGCTCGGGACCTCTGCCTCCTAAAACCCTAATGCATCGGTTTAATTTGAGCTTGAGAGGCTGGAATAAAATACAGAGCACTAAAACGACTTGCGATCACGTCTTTTTGAATGTGTCTACGCGGAGAGCCAGGTTCAAGTGCAAGCCTTATTATCTGTATTATTAACCGAGAGAGAAAAGCTCTTTGGCACATCGACCTGTCCGTGCACATCTCACACCGCAAATTGGAAATATATCATGTTCATCAGCCGTCTGCTTCATGCACCGTGGCAGCCGCATTTACAATCATTTCATATTTATAAATAACACAATTAGATGGGTAACCTTGAGAGCTCTCCTGGCATTGTTTTTTTTTTTTTTTTTTATGATAGCTGCCCGCTGTAATTACACATTGATTGAGTCCCTTGACAAATATGAGACTTCAATGTCGTTACATGTGAGAACTTCTAGCGCCCTCCTCGGTCCATGGAGTCATGTGAACCGCAACGAGAGCAGAGTGCAAATCTAAAAAAAAAAGAAAATACATGTAACATTTCCATTATCCCAATAGAAGTCTGGTGCGTGTGTGTGTGAACTGAGTTTCCTTGTAAATTTCTCCACATTGTGAGATCAATTAAGTTTATCTTATCTAATCAATGGCTGTTGATGGTTGGTTAGAGGAGTCAAGTATATTTTTATAGCACAATTCATACACATGGCAACTAAAAATGCTGAACAAAACATATAGAAACAGTCACAAAAGGCAATTAAATTATAAATAGATAGATACTTTATTGATCCCTGTCGGAGCAATTAAGGTGTTCAGTAGCAGTAAAATCAAGTATGAAGGTTATTTTGGGTTTTTATTATCAAAACTTTTTATGCTTTTGAATTAGATAAACAATAACAAAAAAGTAGTCAGTGTAAATAAATTCAATGTTTTAAAATGCAGTGTCCAAAAATACAATGTTGAAAAAAAATCAGTGTCCAAAAATGTGTTGCATTTTTTTTCGCAGGTTGAAAGGTCATGCTTGATTTCCGGGTAAATCAAGACAGATGCAATCGATCAGCCAATCCTCCATAGATGTAGCCAGGGCCAGAACATGACTTCCCCAAAGCTAATCTTCGCTAATGCTAAGCTAAAATTAAACGCAGGAATGCCAAGTACATGGGGTTTTGCGGTTCCTGTGTGACGTACGCACTAGGCTCCCAATTTGAACGTGTATATTATTCTATTGCAGTGCAGCAAGGACGGTCTTCAATCGGTCTTTTTAGTGAACCAAGAAGGAATGAAGGATCGGTTCTTTAGGGAGAAAACAAACCCACAGATTCAATATTAATGCTACAGAGAGAAATCAGACTGATATATATGGTTTTAATTGAGTATATATTTTGTAAATCCCACTCTACCAGCCTCCTGTTAAAGACTGGGAATGAAATTACATTTATTTGACATGTTAAATTATTGAATAGTGTTCTCGTGTGTGTAAAGGCATTCTACTTCTGCTCCTCCTCAGAGGGTTAGGGTCTGGTTCTACTCTACTACTGTGTATTTATATTGATTAATTTGACTGGGACAGTACATGTATATGAACATATGGTTGAACATATGTCGACATGTCTGATTGTAGCAAAAGGCTAATTTTACTCTGTAATCCCAGAAGAACCGAGTCTGTTTTAATTAATGATTTTTTTTTGTGCATTTTTTTTCCAGAGGCATCCTTTCTTCATTCATTTCCATCACCTCCAGCTTCTGTGGATTACAATACAAACTACAATGACCAATATTTTCATTTATTTATTAATTACAAGTCATGGATAGTTAAAACACATCTCTCATTTGCTGAAGACATATATGCAGCAGCAGCAGCAGCAGTAACAACAGCAGGTGCCTGGACGTCTGCCTCTGATACAGCTGTCTTTTGTACTGTGTACTCATCAAAACCTGGAAATTATTATGATTTAGTTCTTTGTGTGCCATGAAAAGTGATGTATGCATTTGTTTTATCCAACCACACAATCAGTGAGAAACATGTTTCATAGCTTTTATTTAAGTACTTGTACTTCTAATTGATCAGCGACAGGGGCGACAGTAGCTCAGTTGGTAGAGCATTGGCCTTAAGGCCAGAAGGTCGTGGGTTCAATTCCCACCTCTGCACCTTCTCCATCGACTCCCACTGATGACTGCTGTCGTTGTGTCCTTGGGCAAGACACTTAACCCCACTTTGCCCAAAAGCCCCCACTGAAAGATCAAGGCTATGCTCACACTCAGAGAGCAGCCGTCCTCCTGTGGACTCACCACCTGCAGAGGGTCAGTGAGGGGCTGGTGCTATGAGACTTGGGTGGCATCTCTGATTGCCACCCCCTGACCCAGAAATGGATTAAAGGGTAGAAAATGGATGGATGGATGGATGGATACTTCTAATTGAATACATTTAAGCCATTGACTTGACTTGATCAGGTAAGTAAGTAATCTTTATTTATATACCGCCTTTCACAGACCAGAGTCACAAAGTGGTTTACAGTTGTTATTTTTGGGCGTTTGTCTCTCACTCCACACAGAGATGGGAGCGGGGCCAGTACTAGAGGCGCATGCCAGACCTATTGTACATGTTTTTAGTGGTAGGGGAAACCGGAGTACCCGGAGGAAACCGGAGTACCTGGAGGAAACCTACGCAGACACGGGGAGAACATGCAAACTCCACTCAGAAAGGCCCTGGTCCGACCGGGATTTGAACCCCAGGTCTGTTCGATTTCAAGAGGCTAGGAGCTATAAAAGTAAGTACTCATGACCGCATGAATCTGACTCATAAATCTGGGGCCGCATTCCTAAAGATACTTAGTGCTAAAAGTTGCTCCTAGTGGCCAAATTCTAAGAATTTTCTCAGAATCTTGACCTACTCTTAGAAATTCCCCTAAAAGTGAGGAGCAGATCCTAGTTAAGAAAAAAGCTATTCCTAAAAAATTCTAGCTCTAAAGAAAGATCCTAAGGTGAGATCTCTTAAGAGTTGAGAGGAGGACTTTTGCGACTTAAAAGTTCCCTAAAAGAACAAAATGGCGGCAGTAGAGGCGGGATAAATATTCTGTTACACTGGATTACAGTGAATCAGTGAAACGCTACAGATTGAGTCGTGCAGGAATCATGTTGGTGGTATATTTAAAAGTCAATCCTGTGACCAGCTTCTTATAGGCTGGTCAGCAATAACACTTGTTACACCAAAGTAGGTAGAAATGGTAAAAGTTGAAAGAACATTCAGTATGAATGAATAAATACTTCATTTCGAGCCATGGCAAACATGAAAAAACAACAACATGGACAACAACAAACAAAACAACAACAGAATAGAAAAAGTACAAATATACAGTTTTGTTTTCTTAACAACAATCCAGCTCAAAAAGGAGTGGAAAGAAGTTAAGACTTTTTACACCCACCCTCTATGTATCATTTAAATTAACTTAACTTAAATTATGTGGTTGCTACACCTTAGTTTATTCTGTGGTATATTTACAGTTATCCAACAGTGACATTTACAATAACATGCACTTGATTTGTACAGTGTATGTCTAATATGTTTGTATCAATATTGTTTCTTTAATTCCTTATACGTCTTTCAGTGTCACAGCCTTTACTAATCCTAACGTCATTATTATCATCTCTTATCCATATAATGTTCTCATGTTAAATACGAGTGTTAAATATGTGTGATAAATTGGTGCTAAGCAAGCTCTGATGATGTGGTGTAAAAGTATAACTTACTATTCACAGTATTAATTTAAAATTGATATATCTGACTTTCTACTTTTTCTGACTATTATTTACAATAACACAGTCTTCCTAAGATTAGATTCCATGATTGAGTTTGTCCATTTGAGGATCCTTATTTTGCCCATTATCACCAAAAATATGTTTTCTCTAACTTTTATGATCAACCAATCACAGCGTCTGAGATGATGACTCATACCTAACAACTGGGTCGGCCACGCCTCCTCACTAAGATAAGAGTTTTTGTCCATTCCTTGCTCAGAGTTCTCTAAGAGTGTTCTGGAATAACTTTTAAGCTAAGATGCCTAGCTAGGAGTTTTTAGGTTAAGTTAGGAGCTCTCTAAGAGGACTCTTAGAATCTTTAGGCATATGGCCCATGGTCCGAAAGATCACGTCCATGCGTCTTCTGTGTCCAGTTTCATGTTCACAGATGTCCCCCTGTCATCAGTAAATGCACATTATCACATTTAGGCTTAATACAAATGACTTTACAAAGTGATGCACAAACTAGGTCCATAGCAAATACATCACACTTGCATTATTTACATGAAATATCACATTATTAAAACTAATGATTACTCTAAAAAAAACTCTCAGGTTTGGTTAAACTGAAAGTGTAAAACATGAAATTGCAGCATTAGCGCCCCCTACAGGCTGAGTCAAGTTTTAGATGGGGAGAAAGATAGCTTTCTCAAAATGTTTGAAATTTTGCACATAATTCTGTTTTTCCATTCTGATTCAAAAATTCAATCAGACCCATGGCTTATTTTTTACTTTGTTGCCGTGGCGACGACAAACATTCCTCATTAATCAAAATCAAAGAGAAACACGATAACTGATCATAGACATCTAAAATGCACAGTGTCGCTCCCATCAGGGCAGTAGGAAGATGACGCGTCAGCGCCATCTCTTTTGCGCGGTTTTGTTTGTTGTCAACATCAGTCTATTAGTTATCTTTCTTTCTCTTTATGTCATTATTGCTATTGTATTGTATTGTTTGTGTAAATGTTGCATAATAAAAATTAAAAAATCTAAAAAGAAAACAAAAATCTTTACGATGATCTTAATTCTATGGCTCCAACGAACCAGGACCTGCAGCATGCACTGGGACGGTTTGCAGCCGAGTGTGAAGCGGCTGGGATGAGAATCAGCACCTCCAAATCTGAGGCCATGGTGCTCGACCGGAAAAAGGTGCCTTGCCCTCTTCAGGTGGGTGGAGAGGTCCTTCCTCAAGTGGAGGAGTTCAAGTATCTTGGGGTCTTGTTCACGAGTGAGGGAAGGATGGAGCGTGAGATTGACAGGCGGATCGGTGCAGCGTGCGCAGTGATGCGGTCTCTGTATCGGACCGTTGTGGTAAAGAGGGAGCTGAGCCGAAAGGCAAAGCTCTCAATTTACCGGTCAATCTTCGTTCCCTCCCTCACCTATGGTCATGAGCTTTGGGTAATGACCGAAATAACGAGATCGTGGATACAAGCGGTCGAAATGAGCTTCCTCCGCAGAGTGGCTGGGCGTTCCCTTAGAGATAGGGTGAGGAGCTCAGTCACACGGGAGGAGCTCGGAGTAGAGCCGCTGCTACTCCACGTCGAGAGGAACCAGTTGAGGTGACTCGGGCATCTGTTCCGGATGCCTCCTGGACGCCTCCCTGGGGAGGTGTTCCGGGCACGTCCCACCAGGAGGAGGCCCCGGGGAAGACCCAGGACACGCTGGAGGGACTATGTCTCTCAGCTGGCCTG